TGGCACTGGTTCAAGTCATATTAGGCTTTGTCAGCTTGGGTCAGAATTGCGCTATGCTAACATTGCAATCTGCTGTATCTCTTTGCTTAAATCAACCAAGGCCAAACCTACAATCTACTTTCATTGTGCTAACATTGCAAATCTGCTCAGAAAGGAGAATGAGGAAATCAACCTCCACAGAAAGATTGTATATATTGCTGATTTATATTTTATTTAACCAGTGACGTCACATTGTGATTGAAATACATGTTTCAAGTGTGCCCTGGGTGGGACCTTGCGAAATATACACAAATCTAATATTTTATCATTCCTTATGATACAGTGCGTCAGTATGACTGCCTGGTATTTTGTAATGAGGGACTTAACCTACATTACTGGTCAGTGCCAGAGACATTGTCAGGAGGCTCTTACCAGTAAATTACCACGGTAGAAGGAGGAAGCTGGTGTGGAAGGAAGAAGGAAGGGAGGGGTGGTGACAGGCACAGAGCTACATTATGATAGAGGGAGGAGTTGTTTAGCTTAGTCTCTGTGTGGGCCAGTCAACCAGCCAGCCAATCAGTCATGTTTTATTGCTTTACGTTTCCTGACTGTCGCCAGAAGAGAATAGACTTGAATACAGAGAGGAAGCAGACACAGAGAGCGAGACAGAGACACGCTAACATATTTGAGAGAAGTTTTGGGAACTTTCACACAAGTTTTGGAACATTTATATTGTATGTGTGGCATTGCCTTTGCAATAATGGGACTATGGTGCTCTGAGACGAATAAGAAAACGTTTGGGATGCTTACAAGTTGGAAACAGGTGTGCACAACTTGTTTTGCTAGAGTGAGTATCTACTCTCTTGAATAAGGGAAATGGCTTTATTAAAAACATTTTTTTATATATGAATGTAGGGACTTAGTCAGATTGTATGGGTTTGGGTCATACACTTGCTCTGGCATTGTAATTTATTTACAAAAAACTTTCACTTCCCTTTAACCTTTTACTGCAGTGGGCTAAATCAGGGTCACACAGAGTGATTCTTGGTAGTCTTAAACAAATCTACTTTGAAATAAAAGTATACACCTCCCACACATGGTTATGGGCTTAAAAAAAAGAAGACACCTGTACCAAGTCAGATATAGAGTAAAAATGTATTACATTTTGAGTTTGCATCCCAATATTACACTTTATATACATCACAGAAGACTGAAATATAACAAAACTGTTTGACATAGAAACACTGGATTTTCGTCAGGAAAGGGCTTTGTGTTGGTCTTTTAAATTCCATTAAAAGTACAGTAGTTGCCTGTTATCTTGGATTTTAATATGCATGGATAATATTGTGATAAATAGCATAATAACTAATCATAATGCTATTAATTACCTCACAGTGGTTTAGTATTACGCTACGTCCAGGAATTTAGTTTCTGCATTTCCGATTTTGTGTCTATTCTAGAGATTAGGGTCATTCAGACAATGGTTGAGTTGTTCAGACCAGGGCCAGGAGGAACATAATCTGATATTTTGTTTCAGACTTGTTCACCAGTTGATGATGATAATACAGTGTAATAATTTATAGGATTTTTATATAGCGCTTTTACATGTGCTCAGAACGCTTTAGCCTACAATGTAAGGGGAACCTCACCTCATCCACTATCAATGTGTATTCATGCACACAATATAATGTATGGTTTGTGGGTCGGATAGCGTTTATCTGAATACAGAATACAGTTACATTATGCAACAAGGAGCCTGTTGAAAGCTGCCTTTGACATATTTCATAGTCTGCATTGGCGCTCATCTTATCACTACCTACTTTGAATATGTTCATTTCAACATTATGAACACTTGACACTTTAAAACGTAACACTTCAATACTCAGAACTCATTCACCACACAAATGTACACTCGCTTTCGGAAGCGACAAACAACAACCGGTTGTCACAAGTGTGTGTTCCCCCAGTCTGACAACTGTGTGAGTAACGGCGCGCGTTGAGTAATGTGTCCTACCGAACACACTCATGTTTTTGTCATCCTGCATTAATGCATTGTTTACAGATGTTGTATGACTACCATATGGTGCTGGCGTATGCTAGCCTACTGAAAGTTGGTCTGACTATCATATGGCGCTGACATAGCTCGGTATGACTAGCGGGGAAAACACAGAAGACATAGTCCATGACTCATATGGGTCAATTCACAGAGGTCACGATACAGTACCTTGATGCCTTCTGTAAAAATATATTACAAATAAACTTGAATGGAATATCCGCATCGGATTAGGACATTTCCAATTCGGGAAGTTTTATGGGGTTTCTTTGGATTTATAGACTGTCTCTGGCAGTTGGGTTTGTAGAGTTGAGTGCAGCCAAAGCTTTGAAAGACGGACGGCTTCTTACTTGCAGTCAACGGGAAATAACAGACAGATCTGCCATATGACGGCCGTTCACTGCTAGAGAAGGTGCGATTTAATGGTTCACTGAAAAAGCACCTGTTTGACAAAAGTTTTTGCTAAAAACGACAAACAAATCCAAGAGATTCTGTAAATTAGTTGCAGGATATTTGATTGGATATTTCTCAGATTACCATATTACAACGCATACACTTTTCATATCTGGATCAAGATAAAAATTACAAGTAAATTACAGTATGGCAAATATACAGTGGCTTGCGAAAGTATTCACCCCCCTTGGCATTTTTCCTATTTTGTTGCCTTACAACCTGGAATTAAAATTGATTTTTGGGGGGTTTGTATCATTTGATTTACACAACATGCCTACCACTTTGAAGATGCAAAATATTTTTTCTTGTGAAACAAACAAGAAATAAGAGAACAAAACAGAAAACTTGAGCGTGCATAACTATTCACCCCCCCAAAGTCAATACTTTGTAGAGTCACCTTTTGTAGTAATTATATCTGCAAGTCTCTTGGGGTATGTCTCTATAAGCTTGGCACATCTAGCCACTGGGACTTTTGCCCATTCTTCAAGGCAAAACTGCTCCAGCTCCTTCAAGTTGGATGGGTTCCGCTGGTGTACAGCAATCTTTAAGTCATACCACAGATTCTCAATTGGATTGAGGTCTGGGCTTTGACTAGGCCATTCCAAGACATTTAAATGTTTCCCCTTAAACCACTCAAGTGTTGCTTTAGCAGTATGCTTAGGGTCATTGTCCTGCTGGAAGGTGAACCTCCGTCCCAGTCTCAAATCTCTGGAAGACTGAAACAGGTTTCCCTCAAGAATTTCCCTGTATTTAGCGCCATCCATCATTCCTTCAATAATTACCAGTTTCCCAGTCCCCGCCAATGAAAAACATCCCCACAGCATGATGCTGCCACCTCCATGCTTCACTGTGGGGATGGTGTTCTCGGGGTGATGAGAGGTGTTGGATTTGCGCCAGACATAGCGTTTTCCTTGATGGCCAAAAAGCAAAATTTTAGTCTCATCTGACCAGAGTACCTTCTTCCATATGTTTGGGGAGTCTCCCACATGCCTTTTGGCGAACACCAAACGTATTTGCTTATTTGTTTCTTTAAGCAATGGCTTTTTTTCTGGCCACTCTTCCGTAAAGCCCAGCTCTGTGGAGTGTACGGCATAAAGTGGTCCTATGGACAGAGACTCCAATATTCACTGTGGAGCTTTGCAGCTCCTTCAGGGTTATCTTTGGTCTCTTTGTTGTCTCTCTGATTAATGTCCTCATTGCCTGGTCCATGAGTTTTGGTGGCCCTCTCTTGGCAGGTTTGTTGTGGTGCCATATTTTTCAATTTTTTAATAATGGATTTAATGGTGCTCCGTGGGATGTTCAAAGTTTCTGATATTTTTTTATAACCCAACCCTGATCTGTACTTCTCTACAACTTTGTCCCTGACCTGTTTGGAGAGCTCCTTGGTCTTCATGGTGCCGCTTGCTTGGTGGTGCCCCTTGCAGACTCTGGGGCCTTTCAGAACAGGTGTATATATACTGAGATCATGTGACATATCATGTGACACTTAGATTGCACACAGGTGGACTTTATTTAACTAATTATGTGACTTCTGAAGGTAATTGTTTGCACCAGATCTTATTAAGGGGCTTCATAGCAAAGGGGTGAATACATATGCACGCACCACTTTTCCGTTATTTATTTTTTAGAATTTCTTTGAAACAAGTGATTTTTTTCATTTCACTTCACCAATTTGGACTATTTTGTGTATGTCCATTACGTGAAATCCAAATAAAAATCAATTTATATTACAGGTTGTAATGCAACAAAATAGGAAAAACGACAAGGGGCATGAATACTTATGCAAGGCACTGTAGATGATTAGGCTACCTTTGATTTCTTGCATCACTTTTCAAGAGTGGGCAGTGTATGTGTGAGTTATGTTAATGATTTCTGCAAAATGAAATGAAAATCATGTCAAATATAAAACAAGTAAAATATTAATTTAGTGAAAAAGGAAAAGCAAGCCCATTGAAATTAAGTAGTGCCATTGAAATAAACTTCAAATACTGCCCCATTGAGATAAGACACACATAGGAAGCATCATTGAGATAAGACACACAGAGGCAGCATCATTGAGATAAGACACACAGAGGCAGCATCATTGAGATAAGACACATATGTACACAGACATAACCATTGAGATTGATGCAGTGGCCAGAGTCAGGACGATGCACAGCTGCCTCCCTTCACTCAGCTGAATAATGCGCTGCAGTGTGTGTGTGTGTGTGCATGTGTGCGCGTTTGATGTGTTTGGAGGGGAGACCTCCGTGAGAGCGCCTATGCAGTGCACGTGACTCTGTTGCCATGGCGTGATCTACATGTTGATGTCTGCAGTGGTGTGAGTTGATGTGCGTGTTGCTGGCGGGGAGAGAGGGAGAGAGAGAGGGGGCTAAGAGAGAGAGAAAGGGGAGAGAGAGAGGGGGAGACATCTGGCATTGGCGGGAGACTAATCTGAGAGAGAGAGAGAGAGAGAGAGAGGAGAGAGGCATCCTCCCCAACCAGCCAGTTCTAGCCAGTCATCGGGGATCCCTCGCCACCGCTGGAACCCCCCTCCCCCTCTTTCTTCCCTCCTTCAAGCCTCTCTGCCTCTCCTTTTAGTCTCACATCGGATGGATGGATATAGCACTGGAATCCCCTCCGCAACCCGCTCCCATTGGCTACCTCTGGGATGGATAGAGAAACGATAGCGATGCAATAGGACTGGGATATCCTCTTTGAGAACCATTTGTCTTCCATTGGCTGTATAGAGATAGATAGAGATATCATGGTTAAAGGGAGGCACCTACAGTACCTAAGAGATACAGTTACTACCTACGTAGCTACAAGCTTCCTACCTACTGGACCTACCTATATACTGCTGTTCAGGGGAATACCGTCTACTGCTAAAGGAAATACAGTCGCTATCAAACTAGCTGCTGTGATTGGGGAAGATATCACAGGGAGATTCCAGAAATGAGGAAAAGCGCTCTGCGGTGGTCTAGGTGCTCGTCTTGGAGGGGGTTTTCGTTGATCTGTCATCTGTGACTCCGTGAAGGACCACCAAAGAGGCTTAAAGACCAAGATACGAAGAGGGAGATAGAAGAGAGGGCTGTTGGTTGTTGAGTAAGGAGAGCCTTGGTTGGTTTTTCCTATTCAGACAGGGCTTCTGCAGAGGACAGCCAGAGGTGACTGCCATAGAACAGCCAAAGGATATACAGCTACAGTACAGCAACATGCCTGAAGCCAACACCATGCTCTGTGTCTCCTGGGGGTACATCAAGGTGTGTTGGGGACTCGGGGTAAATGTGTGTTCGTGGGGAGGGGGGGGGGGGGTCGTTCATATGTGTATACTTGTAGCACATTCTAGTATTTATTTGCGTATTGCATCAGATTGATTGGCCACTACAGCCCACAGCCCATGATCTCAACTGAATCAATCTCACAACATAGTTGTTGTGCATTAGTTTCTAAACAGAATAAGATGTGTGTGCGGGTAAATGTTTGGTTGAAAAGCTACTGCAGAAGTTTGGTTGATTCTGGCCCTATGCTGTACATATTTATCCAGAAATACAGAAATCTTTGATTTGTTTTCTAAATATCTCAAAACAGGACTCTCAAATATCCTATACTGTATAAAGATATGCAAACTCCTTATATGGTATCAAACAAACAAGCCTATTCCCTTGGGCTCCAATACTCCACATTAGTGGTGGGCGGGTCAGCTGTTTGTTCACCTGCACCAGCCCGCAATTGCTAATAACCCATCCGCAATCGCCAGACTATGTGATAAAGTGAAAAACTCTTTTTTGACAGGGGTTGCAGGATTTTATTTTGCCTAATTTAGATATGTTTCTGCTTATAATTGCCAACATTTTGGTAAGCTATTTGTTAGTCAACGTGTCTATAATTAGATACATGCAGCTTCTCATCTGTCATTATATGTTGCCCTTGAAGACTAAATATACCCTTGCTCATCAGAATAATGTCATAAATGAATGCTTCAATCTAGTTGACGTAGGTAAAGTTTTCTCTGTCATCTCTGCTTCTTTCGCAGAGCAAAGACGTTTAGGGACCGGGGAGAAAATGCAATAGGCCTGTAAGGAAAGAGAAAGCTGTGAAAACGACCCAACATGTTTCTAATAAGATTTCAGTTCGGCTTGTTTGCATATTTTATGTAGTTTTAGTTCGGCTTGGATGCATATTTTATGTGGTTGAAGTACTATCAGCTTTTATGATGCTGATAAAGGTAGCACCTCTGCAGACGGTCCCTAGGTGCGCATTCACATTCTCTCAAGATGCTGAAAGAAAGAAATAATATTTATTTTGTTCCCGAGTCAAAATGTACATTTGGTGTATCAAATTTACTGCAAGAAATGCTTAATTTTGCAGGAATTAATATTAAGACTATGTGAGAAGTTATAGTCCTACAATCAGTGTCCAGATTTCAGTTTCCATTTAACCCATCTGAACAGTAAGCTACAGTTATTCCCTTTACGTGCCATAGGCCTATTTGAAATCCCTTTCTTGTGAATGTCGAATTTGTATAGCGCCTCACAATCAACACACATAACATCTGGCACTGCTATCATCCTCTTTTACCACTTCACCAAATCTTTCCCAAACAATACTTTTCTGGCCCTCCCTTCTCTTTATTTTCAACTCTCCATTTCGCAGCTTTTTTCTTAGTGAATTAAACTCCGACATTGTCCTTTTTGCCTAAGTGGATAGACGTGAACTTTTTCTGCCTGTTTCCAAAAGTGTTTGGCGTGTAGGCTATGTAGTGCGTGTAAAGTTAGGCCCTAAAGCTTAGGTTTACGCGCTAATGCCAGATAGCCTACAAATTATGAGAAAAAACCCTCAATGTAGCCTATAGATATAAATTGCACAAGAATTATACATTTATCGATTTTTTTCATGTGTTGTTTCAACCCGACCGCCACCCTAAACCAACCTGCACCGCTGGGGAATGTGGTTTATGAGTCAACCCACTCATCACTACTTCAAGTCAACAGAAACTCCCTGGAAACAAGTTATGCCACTACCCCAGGGCAGCTATTTCCTGTTGGTCTCCATGCAGTATATCTAATAAGGTGTTGTGTAGTTTTGTATTTCCCCAGTTTGATATCTTGCTTGTCTACATGCATTATATCTACAGTTAATATGGTGTTCCGTCATTTTCTGTTACTCCAGTTCAATGTCTTGTTGGTCTCCATGCAGTGTATCTAACACAGTGTATCTAACACAGTGTATCTAACACAGTGTATCTAACACAGTATATCTAACACAGTGTATCTAACACAGTGTTGTGTCATTTTCCGTTACTCCAATTCAAAACAAAACCGTTTATATGCTTCCCACTGCTAATTGGCAACAGGAAATGGCTGACCTGAGGTAAACTATTTTATCCAAAGCTACTTAGTACGTTCTACGTATGGGTGGTCCATGGGAATCAAACCCATGCTCTACCAACTGAGCTAAAGAGTCTATCTAATGATGATCTAACATGGTGTTGTTTCATTTTGTGTCTCCCCAGTTCAAGAGGATGTTGAACCGGGAGCTGACCCACCTGTCAGAGATGAGTCGCTCCGGCAACCAGGTGTCAGAGTTCATCTCCAACACCTTCCTTGGTAAGTCAAGTCACACACGCCTGCACGCAAACACACACACACACACACACACACACAAATACAGACACACAGACACACACAAACACACACGCTCTTGAAACAAAATAACTCATCTCATTTATTATCTCTAGCTGTGTTAATGGACAATACCTATGCCTCCTTTGGCTGAATGGTGATGTTTTAGGTATTATTGGCTTTTACACAAAGAGAAACAAATCATAATAATATAATAATCATAAATGATTAAGCAGGAGGAGAAAAGAGGTTGAGGGACAGAGAGAAAGAGATGCTGTGGAGTGGGGTATCAATGTGGAGATGCACTAGTTTCAAACCAGTCTGATCTGGTCTGCTGGAGTGCTCCCTCTGTCTCACTGCAGAGCGAGGGAGGAAGGGAGGAGCAATTCTACTCTTCCCTGGGACGCCGTCCCTCTGTCGTTCTGCAGAGCGAGGGGGAGAGGGAGAGAACGTGAAAGAGAACGAAAGAGAGTGTGTTTGTTACGTGTCTGTGGTGTTGCCTCATCTCTAAAAACCCAGTGACACATTCCATGGCTCCTTGCCAATTAGCCAGCGCTAGCTGACTGCACAGCACAGAGAAAACTACTACTCTGAGAAAACTGCGCAGTGCACCGACTCGTAAACAAGCCTCCATCTTTCTCTTCACGGATGAAAAAACAGATGGAGAGAAAGAGAGGGAGATGGTAGGAGGGAGGAAGTCAGGAAGAGAAGGAGGGACATTGATAAGCTATAAAGATACGTTGATGATAAGATTTGAAGAGATATTAAGGTAGATAGAATAAAGCGAAGAGGGAGGAAGAGAGAGAGAATGGATAGTGATTTAAGGCAGAATTTTTTTGTGTTCTGCATTGCGGCTAGTACCTGTCAGGTCGAGGCAAATCATCTTCCTACGCCTCATAGAGAATAGAACTGAGGCAGTGTGTGAAGCATTGTGTGAAAAACACACACACGGTTAGCCGCAGAATCACATACACGGTCAGCTGCACACACCGCGTGACGCTAACATGTAGCGCCTCAAGAGAGGTCGCTTCAGCGCCACCAGAACAAGCCATCCTCCAAACACTTCTCCTTAATACAACAAAGCAGCAGCCAACATTTCTATGCGTTGTTATGGTTTGGCAACAAGCTTTTATTTATCCCCAAACGCTATTAATCTCTCCACTGAGAATTGACGCCTCATTGAATATTAGGGAATTTCTCTAATTCTATGAATATATCACAGAAGTTACACCATTGTTTTTCATTAGCATGTGTTTGCTATTTATTTGTTTTTAACATGTTATTTCTATGGCATTATGTTTTCCCTATACATTGAATATTGAAATAGTTTATTATGCTGAATGTCAGTTTGCTCTTTGCTAGTGAATTTTAACTGAAGGAGACGGAAGAAAACGGAAGAGAACAAGAGAAGGGCTAGATTTTTTGAAAGAGTAAGAGAATGACTGTCAGTAGATGAGGAAGACTGAATGGTCTAGTCAGAGAACCAGTACAGACCAGTTACTCATATACACTACTGACTGAATGATTGTCCACTCAAGTCAATGTAACCTCTTCTCCCAATGCGGTGCAATTACCATTTTACCATGTCAATTCATGTTATGTACTGTAAAAGAAAACTGAGGAGTGTCAAATTGCTTTGTGATTGAAATTACCACAAAGGTTGTTTGTGAGTCTGTCTTTCCGACTCAGTGTTTTCATTCCATGGTGCAGTAGTTGAACCCCTTTTCTTCTCCCTCCACGCCTCCATCCCTCCATCCCTCCTTCCATCCATCCCTCTCACCCTCCAGACAAGCAGAATGAGTTGGAGTTGCCGTGCCCTATGGCCAAGACCAGGGAGAGGAAGAAGAGGCCCCACCCCCAGACCCAGCAGGGGGGTCAGACTCAACGTCAAGGGACGATGACCCAGATCAGTGGGGTCAGGAAGGTCAGCCAAACCCCCGGGCTCCAAGGCTGCAGCGTCAGCCGCTTCGGGGTCAAGACAGACCAGGAGGACCTGCTGTCTAAGGTACTTGGGAAGTCTGTACTTTACACTGGAGGGGTATACTATATAAAGCAGTGTCACTGAGTTAGCCAGCTAACATTGATAAAAAAATAATAATAATAATAATAAAAATGTTTAGCTAAATATGTTTTTGGTTGTTGAGTGAACTAGAGACCATGCCCATTTCAAGCTTATCTTTCAAAAAAGACAGGGCGGCAGGTAGCTTAGCGGTTAAGAGTGTTGGGCCAGTAACCGAAAGGTCGCTGGTTTGAATCCCAGAGCTGACTAGGTGAGAAATCTGTCTGTGCCCTTGAGCAAGGCACTTAACCCTAGTAGTTCTGGATAAGAGCATCTGCTAAATGACTAAAATATAAATGTAAGAAAGACAAACCAATAAAGTAGGCTAATGATGAGGTATCACCTAGTGACAAACACATTTTTATGATGAGCTTATTTGTTTTTATCAATGTGACAAACTGGTAACTGACAACATATTAAGTAGATGTCCCCAAACCTAAGGTGCACATATTCTGCTCAAGGTTAGGACACCAATGGAATCATAAAGCAAACGGCACTTTTTGATTCTTGAATTGAAATTCCAATACAAATATCTGGATATTTAATTTGTCTTCCTGATTATAATTCATTGTGACTGCACCTTCCGGCCATCTCTCTGCAAGAACGTACCCTGACAATTTCTCTCTCTTTCTCAGGACCTTGAGGACATCAACAAGTGGGGTCTGAACATCTTCAGGGTGGCCGAGCACTCCCACAACCACCCGCTCACATGCACCATGTACACCATCTTCCAGGTCAGTGCTCTTCCTCCTCTTCCTCCTCTTCCTCCTCCTCCTTTTCTTCCTTTTTTGTTCCTGTCAGAATGCTGTGTTTTCTCTGACTGAGGTGCCTTGCAGACACACACACAGGGGGGGGAGTCACCAGCACACAGACTACAGTACTGTACATCAGCACTCTATGTTCTCAATAATGTGTCCTCATCTTCTGGGTCAGTAGCTGAATGATCAGTTATGCTACTGTAGAAGGAACTAGTCTAGGAACTAATCTAGTCATATGGATAGGTGGACATTAACACACAGTGCCAATGAATTACTTAGCCAGCCAAGTCAAGCAATTCATTTTCCTTAGCAGTTTTTATATTGTAATTGCCTTTTGTTTGACGAAGCCATTGCAATTTAAACAGACAAACTCAAAGTAAAACCAAAGTCAAAGTCATTTTAAGTTGAAGTAAATTGAAAGGATCATCAGAGAGTGGTTATGGGTTGTTGTGTTACATACAGTATGGTATATTATATGGGTTACATTTCTCCTTTAGTTAATGAATGGTGGTGTGTTGTCTTGTGTTGGTGTGTGTCCTGTGCATGACCAAGACCTGATGAAGACGTTATGGGTTACATTATTTCCATTAAGCTAACAGTGCTGTGTCTGTTTGTGTGTCCCATGCAGGAGCGAGACCTGATGAAGACGTTCAAGATCCCTGCGGACACATTCGTGACCTTCTTGTTGACCCTGGAAGCACACTACCACTCAGATGTAGAATACCACAACAGCCTCCACGCTGCAGACGTGGCCCAGTCCACACACATCCTGCTCGCCACACCCGCTCTGGACGTAAGTGATCTGACCCAACTCTACTTAATATCATCCACTTATAATTAATAACTAATAATATTATCCACTTTTTCTTCTTGATTTGTGTTGAATATTCTGAGGAGTGACTAACAACACTATCTCACATAGCAAACCTCTAAGTCAGGGCTCTCCAACCCTGTTCCTGGAGAGTTACCCTCCTGTAGGTAAACTGCAGGTGTGCTAGATTAGGGTTGGAGCGAAAATCTACAGGACGGTAGCTCTCCAGGAACAGGGTTGGAGAGCCCTGCCCCAAGTAATAATAAATAATGTATACCAGCAAGTGTTATCAGTAAACACACATGTACAATGTCACACCACTCCACCTAAATATGTCACTGCCACTCCACCTAGTTATGTCAGACGATAATGAGTTATTACCAGATTCATATGTGTTACTCTATCTTGTCAAGCATGATTTTTAATGCAGTGAAACCTTCACTCTCAATGTTGAAAACTCATCAAATCTCTCCTGTTTCCTTTTCCATCTCCCCCCCGTCCTGTCCAATCACAGGCCGTCTTCACAGATCTGGAGATCTTGGCGGCCATCTTTGCGGCAGCCATCCATGACGTGGACCACCCTGGGGTCTCCAACCAGTTCCTCATCAACACCAGTGAGTACATTCTCCATCAAAATCTAACAACAGCGCCCAATTCATAATCTCTGCTACTTTGGTACGACTTTATCTTAGCATTTATAATTTCTTGACATATTTGAAGATACAAGTGAAATATTCAAGTTTCAAATGCATCGTCACAAAAACCACATAAGTAAATGTTTTAGAAAACACATAAGTTCACAACGTAGATACTAATAAACTGGTAAATAGCCTTGTCTGAGTCAGAACGGCCCATAGGGTAGGAGCCTATCTCTGGTTTCTGTAGTATGATGCCTGGAGACAGGACACCAGTCTATCGCAGGTAGTCATGGTGGGTTGGCTATATTTGATCCAGGGAAAGCACCCATTATTGTTTCCCTATTTCTTCTAATCAGTCCGTCTCTCTGTCTCTGTCACTCTCTGTCTGTCCAGACTCAGAGCTGGCCCTGATGTATAACGATGAGTCAGTCCTGGAGAACCACCACCTAGCCGTGGGCTTCAAGCTGCTGCAGGAGGACAACTGTGACATCTTCCAGAACCTGACCAAGAAACAACGCCAGTCCCTCAGGAGGATGGTCATAGACATGGTGAGAGAATGTCCCGGTTCTGACCAAAGATTTTTGATTCTGATGTCCCATTCGTATGAGTCTCTTGACCGCGTGTCGGTCCGTTGGTCCGTCCGACGGTCCATCTTTCTATCTCTGGCTCAATTCTCAATTCCATTTTTAAAAATGTAGGTTTCTTGGCATCATAGATCACAAATCATACATTACTGAAGCATAAACATGTATAAATCACTAACAACAATCTGTCTCTCTCGCTCTCTCTCTCTCCCTCCAGGTACTGGCCACTGACATGTCCAAACACATGAGCCTACTGGCTGACCTGAAGACCATGGTGGAGACCAAGAAGGTGACCAGCTCTGGAGTGCTGCTGCTGGACAACTACACAGACAAAATACAGGTAGGAGCTCACACTCACATGTATAAGAACGCATGCGCAAACACACACACACGCGCGCGCACACACACAGGTGGACATACAGGCATGTAGGCTCACACAATCCTCTCTCCGACCCCTCTCTTCCAGGTGATGCGTAACATGGTTCATTGTGCAGACCTGAGCAATCCGACCAAGTCCCTAGACCTGTACCGCCAGTGGACCGACCGCATCATGAACGAGTTCTCCCACCAGGGAGACCGGGAGAGGGAGAGAGGCATGGAGATCAGCCCCATGTGTGATAAGCATACGGCTTCAGTGGAGAAGAGCCAGGTAGGTTACTAATACATGTACACATATACAGGTATGAACGCACACACTCATACGTACAGTACACACACTGCTCGCATACACACGTGTATACACATCTTACACGTGCACATACTGTTTGCACACACACACACACACTCTCGCTCAACCCGCTCTACTGCTATTAATACAGTATTCATACACACTATTCTATCTTTAAATCTCACACCCTCCTCTCTCTTCTCCCTCTCTCCAGGTGGGCTTTATCGACTACATCGTCCACCCTCTGTGGGAGACGTGGGCCGACCTGGTGCACCCTGACGCCCAGGACATCCTGGACACCCTGGAGGACAACAGGAACTGGTACCAGAGCATGATCCCCCAGAGCCCCTCTCCTCCCTTCTACACTGGCGACGGAGAGGGGGATGGAGAGGGAGGAGAAGGAGGTCACAAGTTCCAGTTTGAGCTGACACTAGATGACGGACAGGATGAGGATGGACAGATAGGAAGGGAGGAGGGCGAGCGAGGGACAGAAGGGGGACGGTCGCCAATGTACCAGGGTGGAGTAGAGATGGAGATACGTGGGGCTTCCCCCACATAACAAGCCTTGACCCTTGATCTTTATAAAAGCACCAGTTTTAGGCTGTGTTTGGTGTATTGTTTTATTGCAGTGGAGGAATCCTGCAATCTGGCTCTTTGGAGCTGCTCTGCTTGTGCGCGAGGGCCTGACTGACTTATGGCCCCTGCAGAAGAGGGTGGGGGACCCCAACACTTGGTTTGGGAACCCTCAGAAAGAAGATTATGAAGAGTTGAAGAGAGTGATGCCTTGAAGGAGTCCTGTTGAACTGCTGTGTGGCAGAAGTACCGTATTTTGGTCCTTAGCCAGATACTACAATCTTTGCTCTGACAAAGAAGATTAAGCTAATTTACACTAAGAGACTATGGTGTTCAATTGGGACAAGATGAGAGACACTTGCACTTCAGAACGATTGTTGTTCTCCGTGACTATTTTCGGGTATATGTTTTGTTTTGTAACGGGATTGGATGGGATGTTGCCGGGTAGCGTTCAAAGTTAAAACTAGTGGTCCACAGGTATTTGTAACGCAGAAGGTTTACCCATTTGTAACAGGTGTCTAAAGACTTTTCTATGACAGGGTCTTTTGTATGTAATTTTATAATTTATTGAACAGTTTTAAGTCGATATTGTAAAATGTTTGTTTTCTACACACAATGAATCTATTTGTCTCTCGAACAAGAGGAGAATACACACAGTCTTCCTTATGTCTTATCAGCAATAGTGTATTCACAATGGTGTTTTGTGGACTTTCCAAAATCGTCGGACTTCCCAGCACAAGTTGCACTTTTTGCAAGGGTAGAGCGCTAGAACAGTATTTATAGAGTCAGGTTATTCTTTCAACACCCAACTCATAAGACTATACGCTCAATGTTATATGTTATATGTTATCTCACAAATGTCAAGTCAATATTAACAAATGGCACATAAGTTCCATATTCACAGCAATGCTGTTGCAAACCTGTTACTTATGATTTTACATATTTTCCTACCATAAAGCAATTATCTCCATCATTCAGATTTTCCCAGTGGGAAAAACCAATGAAAGTCAATGTAAACTGTCCAAACCAATAAGCTCCAAAGATCACCTGATAAAAGCGCTTTAACAGCAAGAATGAACTCAGTCCAACAGAGGTGTGGTGCCACATCTGATTAGCACTTAATCAATAATCTTCGAATTTTTTGGAAAAATATCTAGAATATCTTCCAAGAATGGAAGTCCAGTAAATGTGATCTCCTAATCTAATTCATGCACAGAATTAAAGACAATTAAGGCCAATCAAATTAACGATTGAGTGGTTTCTTTCCAAAGAGAAAGAGATAAAAATCCCTTCACATTATATTTTGAAGCCCCAGACTAGCCTCGTGACTGTCAACCAATGTCAAAAAACAAACCTCCATACAACAATATTTGACATAAGCTGATGTTATTATTTTGGTTGCCAGGTCTTCCTTGAGCTGACCACAGCCAACAACACACCTCTCGAGGTTTGGCAGAAATCTCAGCGCAACAAACACAATGAAACTAAACCAAAAACAAATAGCATATTTTTAAATGTTGATTCAATGTTCATTTAATGTCACCTAAAAGGTGTAGGAAGTGGAGATACTGAAGTGAAATGTTTAAAAAACAATTCATGATTTCTGTCCAGCACTTTGACGAGCTGGATAGCTCAGCACCTAGTTGCTCTTCTGTCAACAATACATCTAAATGGTACTGCGATGGAAGCTGCAACTCACAGCTTCTAGAGTGTGGGGAGATCAGCATAACATCACTAGATGACAATACTTCCCTCCTTGACTGTGTGTGCATGTGTGTGTTTGTGTATGAGGAGAACTTAGCTACACATTCTCCTCGTCATTGCACCTAGTCCAATGTCGATCCATGAACTGTTTGAAACAGTGTATTTATGACTTTGATCTGTAAATAGAATCATATTCACAAAAAGTATGTTTGGTATCATTTATATGCACTACCATTACCTGTCAAAACAAGTGAAATATTTGTTATAATGTATAATACTCAAGTTTTTGCAGATTTCCTTGTTACTTGGCAGAAAACTGAGGTGCTTAGCAAAAATGTAATTCCTCGGTTTCTGTTGTTTTCCTGTTGTTATCTGGAGCCATATGAAGGCTGCGTTGTTCCTATATGATGTACGGTGACGGGTCATTATACAGCTAGCTATATGTTTATTGAAATATTGTACCGATATTTCCCATGTGTTTCTCAGAAGTCTCACACAATGCATGGTAAGGTATTGTATGTTGTGTTCAACAAATCTTTTTTATGAAATTATTAAAATGAGCATGAATTTACTCTATGCATTGTTTCATGTCTTACCTTTCTGTGATTGTAGTGTCATATAGGATGTCAGTCCACTTTAGTTTTAAAGGAACAACATACAGTAAATTCAAATTAAGTATACTGTGGTAAAAGCCTCTAGTCCAGCCTTTTTCAAACCTCTCCTCGGGGACCCCCAGACGTTTCACAATTGTGTTGTAGCCCTGAACTAGCACACCTGATTGAAGTAGTCAAGGGCTTGAAGATTAGTTGACGAGTTGAATCAGGTGTGATAGTTCTGGAAGAGTTCAAATACATAGAACGTCTGGGGGTCCCCGAGGAGAAGGCTGCTCTAGTCTACTCAAAAGCCTCTGGTTGCATTCCAATACTATCACAATGTATTTTTCCTTCCTCCCATCCTTGACGTAATCACTGATCTGACATGATTTGATGGGTGAAAGCAACATAGGCCAATAGAAAACTTCCTTTCACCTACTATGAAATCATTTGGTGGCAGCAGTGGGCTCCAGACCTGCAATCATTTGGTGGCAGTGCTAGGATCCATCTAGGCCTGCAGGGGACCCTGTGTCATCCTGTCTGGACAGGACGTGACATCGCAATGGCTGCAGGAGGGCATTTGATGAGATTCACCAGCTATTTTACGACCTTGGGCAGTCTGTGGATGTCCAGGAGGAATGGCTGGAATGAGAGGCCCAGTGGCAGGAGAAAAGTAACAATTAGGGGTCAATTATTTTTCTGTTCATTGAGAAGTCTTTGAATTCAGTCATTGAATGCCAATTATTGAATTGGAAATTCAGATTACTTTCTGAATTGACTGGCTTTTATTTGAATTGACCCCAACCTTGAGCACTACGCCTCACCAGTGATTATCTCATGGAAGTTAGCAAGGAAGGATACATTTCTGACAGGGCTTCTCTCTCTCCACTGTGATGTTGTTGACTTTGCTGTAACAGACTGCTGCTGGACACAGGGGCAGGAATGTAAACAGGTGTCACGCCCTGACCTTTAAATGCCTGTTGTTTCTCGTTGGTTTGGTCAGGGTGTGAATTTCTATGTGTATATCTATGTGGTGTATTTCTATGTTGGCCGGGTGTGGTTCCCAATCAGAGGCAGCTGTCGATCGTTGTCTATGATTGGGGATCATACTTAGGTAGCCATTTTGCCTACCTATGTTGTGGGATCTTGACTCTTGTTTGGCTTGTTTGTGTGTAGCTATAGTGAGCTTCACGTTACGTTGCTTTTGTTGTTTGGTCGTGTGTGAACAAACATGTATGCATTCCACGCTGCACCTTGGTTCAATCCTGTACCCAACGTACGTGACAACAGGAAATGCAGAGATAGCGATGCTATACGCTAGGCCCTGTGCTAACCACTCTCCCATGGCCTACAGACCCAGTGTCACAGCCCAGTGAGGTAGAGATAGGGATCAGGCATACGTGGGAAAGAACTCAAGGGCATACACCGAACAGTTCACCATTGTCATGTTGCCACTATCACTTCTATAATCAATACCGTAGTAGGACCAACTTCCTCTACTGTTCCTGTGAATTCTTGCCTTTTTATTCTGTCATAAATTTATGTATACCCTGCTTGCCACTATCACTTTTTTTTTTTTTACATTTTAGTCTTTTAGCAGACGCTCTTATCCAGAGCAACTTACAGTTAGAGCTAGAAGGGGGAGGGGGGGTTCAAGTGGAAGTGCTGGTGATTATTTTGTTATTTTTGTAATTTTTGTTACAATAACTATTTCTATGTACTGTAGCCATAGTTCCAACTCCTCTATTCTACTACAATTGTGAAATCAATGAACAATATTACAGGTACTGTAGTAGTAATATCTAAGTAGAAAAGGTATATTCAGTCTAGTCTGATTTCTCTATCTCAGCAGGATGTATGAGCTGCATCTTAAGACGATAGGAGGAAACCCGAACCCTTTTCCTCTTTCCTGCAGAGTAAGAGAAACCTGACTGTTTACCGTACACATGGTCACAAAGGGCCAGCTTTTTCCATGGCGGTCTGTTGCCGGGGTCCGCGTTGCCTTGACGACAGGAGGCAAAGTTTGTTTTAAAAATCCCGACAGAGGTATTGTGGTGTGTGGGTGACTGACGTCAATGGGGCTGGGGATGGGCCGCCCAACCCCAGTAGCCAGCAAGCCAGCATCCGTGGTAGGAGCATGTGGTGGTGGAGGCCCTTACATGCACGTGGATCCAGGCCCCCAGATGCCTCTGTGTGTGTGTCTGTGTGTGTCTGTGCATTTGCGCATGTTTGTCTGCACGTGTGTGTACTTTCCTCCTCTTTACTCTAAGATCCTAGGACAAAGAACAAGATGCCTCCATCCCAAAATCATCAGAGCTATCAGCTATCAGAGATGACAGCACTGCAACCATAGAATACAGTGGGGAAAAAAAGTATTTAGTCAGCCACCAATTGTGCAAGTTCTCCCACTTAAAAAGATGAGAGGTGCCTGTAATTTTCATCATAGGTACACATCAACTATGACAGACAAAATTAGATTTTTTTTTCCAGAAAATCACATTGTAGGATTTTTCATGAATTTATTTGCAAATTATGGTGGAAAATAAGTATTTGGTCAATAACAAAAGTTTCTCAATACTTTGTTATATACCCTTTGTTGGCAATGACACAGGTCAAATGTTTTCTGTAAGTCTTCACAAGGTTTTCAGACACTGTTGCTGGTATTTTGGCCCATTCCTCCATGCAGATCTCCTCTAGAGCAGTGATGTTTTGGGGCTGTCGCTGGGCAACACGGACTTTCAACTCCCTCCAAAGATTTTCTATGGGGTTGAGATCTGGAGACTGGCTAGGCCACTCCAGGACCTTGAAATGCTTCTTACGAAGCCACTCCTTCGTTGCCCAGGCGGTGTGTTTGGGATCATTGTCATGCTGAAAGACCCAGCCACGTTTCATCTTCAATGCCCTTGCTGATGGAAGGA